ATCGCCTCCACTTCTTCTTCCTCTTCTGGGGAAAATGAAGGTAAAAAATAAAAAAAAAGTATGTGAAAGTTATTATCAACCTAACAAAAGAAACGCGATACATCCACTCAGGTTCCCAAAACAAGGGCATACCAAATCCTTCCTTATATAAGGAATGTTTGTGAAGTCGTTGAGAGGCACTTGCAGAGACACCAGATAAAAGTGGTGCACAAACCAGTGGATACCTTATGCCCTCAGATAGTACACCCTAAGGATAGTATTGGCTAGCTCAATAAGTAAAATTTCATCTACAAATCCCATCCGAAGCTTGCGATACTGTGCATTTTGGCCAAACAGGAGGATTATTCTCCACCCGCATCCACGACCATCGATTGGCCGTAGAAAGACGACACTATTTGCGCGAAGTGGCTCTGCATTGTCTTGACGCAAAAAAATATTTGCATGGGACAGAACACGCACAGTCGTAGTTTGCCCTCCAAAAAAGGCAGATAATTTATTATGCTCATCGTGCATAGTGTGCTTATCGTGCATCAACCAACTTATCGAGTAAGATGAAGTATTCAAACACAAAAATGAAAGATGCCAGAGGCTACAGCCGATCACTAAGCGCTATCGTGAACCGCAAGTAGCGCCCAAACCGGACAATCAGGACTGACATCGGACCGATACACATTATAGTTGCCAATTTACCATTACACTGTGGCGACTATCCATTTTGTCCACAACAGAGTGACGCAATTTGCAGCTGCCAATCAGTGCCTATACTAGACGCCTGTGTAACGGTACCAGCACTCTTGAAATGCTACTTGATCGTTGTACAACTTCGCAAGACTGAAGAAGACCTGGGGATATCTGGCGAGGATTTACTCAATCGAGTTTCTCAATTTTCCCAAAGAACGCCCTTTTCTGAAAATAAATCAATGTTAGATTTGTTGTAGCGTTGAAATAATGTCGGCTCTATTTGATATGAAAAGAAAGAAGATCTTCAGAAAATCGAGTTGTACTCGTGCATTTTCGAACAAGTATCACATGTTCGTCGTCAGACTGAATGAAAAGTGAGTGCTGCGAAGGTCGCACTAGAGGTTTAGTGGGCAAAGGTTACAACGGACAGTTCAGCTGGTTCAGCAGGTATGCGAAAAGACAAATGTTGTACTCACATACACGAGAAGAAGTCGAAAATAATCATGAAATTATTTGAATCCTTTCCAAAAGTGTTTGACAGAGAATTGAATGTCTTGTTCCACAGTCCTTGACATCTTCCAAAGTCAATTTCGTAGCCTTCGACATAGGAAGGTAATCATATGACCGCCCCGCAATACTAACTGTCGAACGGCCGGAATATAGATGGTGAATATGACCGGTACAAGGAGCAGTTGGATATCTAGCAAAAGTTCGATAACATGTGAAATTGGGGAGTCTATGTGTATAATACACAATCCCAGAGAACATAATAAAGTGCGTCCAGTGTCAAAAATACTGATTGCAAGGAGATTCACCGACAGTGGTACAGTGCAGAGAGTCGCAGTGAGCCAACCCTGTGGTCGACCGAATGCTTTTATCTGCTCCTTTGTCGTGCCCGGAAGAGATAGGATGTTCCAAGTGTCGAAAAGTTGATCGGCCGGCGTGTTGCGCACCCAGTAGATAATCTTGTAGCAGGAGAGGCTCAATATCACGAGACTGATGACTGCAGTCAGACCAAAACGAACAAAGTTGCCCGTGTAGAGGAACACAAGAATACCATAGGGCAGATCCTTATCAACACACTTGCAACTATTGCCATCCCACTGCACAATATAGGCTTGGGGAACCATAGCTATTAGGCTCACCAAGCCCATCCCACCCAGGTAGGCGATGTCGGCCAGGAGAGACGTGGAGAACGAGTACTGATATTTGCAGGAAATCTGAATGGCTCTGTTTCCAACCGTGAAATTCAGGATAAGGATAGCAAATGTGTAACACACGAGGGAGAGATATCGGCTCGACCACAGATGACATACTATTGGTGCCAATATTTCATCACCGTAAACGATGCGACTAGGAATGAGCTGGCGACATACATTGAGGAAACAGTAGACAACAACAGAAGCAGTTAAGGTGCACATTTGGACAAGGAAGATCCGTGGTTTCCCTTTAAGAAGAAGAAGAATTACCAGCATTACCATATTTAGCATCAAGCAAAGTACAGTCACGAAAATGCGGATAGCAAAAAAAGCGTCTTCTGGAGGGTCAAGTGTAGGACATTTCCAAAAAATTGTTTTCATTATGTTTTTCGGGATTTCTCTCTACGTCTGTCCAACCACGTTATTGCGCGCAACACACATATATATATATATATATATATATTTAGACACAAACAGAGCATGGTGGGCGGCCGTAGGGGTGGAGCATTTTGAAATACTGTTCCAGTCTGGCTTTACTTTTTCCTAAGGTTTGTTATTTTATTAAAAACTGTCAGTTTTCTCCTTGAATTCTCTCTGTGGCCAGCCGCCTACCACCCCCCTCTTCTCGTACATTGTTTCCCATTTTGTTTACACCCCCCTCCCATTCTCAGTGTGCCATCACTTGCCTTTTGCTTGCCAATGTTGTCAACTGTGGACGTGGTTAAGGAGTTTCTAACTTCTTCCCTACTGTCAAGAATATTTTTTCTAAATATTTGTTATGACCAAGCTCCCTAACTTCTAAAAGCGAAATTGAAGTTTGATACGTAGGGAAATCTGATAAAGATGGAACTATCTTCAAACAAATAATATTTTCCCAGTTAGACCTCTAACTGAATTGTCGAGGCCACACTGCTCGCAAAAGATAAAGTTGGCGCCAGGGCTACGGCCATGTTTGAGTATTTGTTGGGTGGTTTTGTACGCACTGCTTATTTTAGCCACCAAATAACTACTGAAGACATTGACAGAATTGCATACCAAATCTTTCGTTCATGAAGTTCTTGTTACTTGTTTAAATTGCGAGTCACGATCCAATCAACGAAACAACATATTGTGTTATTTGTGAAAGGTTCTCAAATTATAATTTCCTACGGTAATGAAAGAATTCTCAACTCATTACGCTCACAATCTAGAGTTGACTAGCCACATAACTTCATTCTCGAGACTACGTATTGTCACCTCGGCAAGAAATTCCGACATAGGTGACTCTTAAGGAACTTCTTTAAGGTGCTGATAATTGTTGTTGTCAAATAAAAAGTTGTTCTGTCAGCATCTGTGAACAATTTTACTTCAAAATACGATTTGGAATACGTATGTCCTCAGCAGCTCTTAAACAGGGCATTACATTTGCAGGGACAGGGTTATTTAGGCCACTTCAATTATAACTCATTATTTCCATTCCTCCTGCGTGGCGATATCGGTTTGTAGAGCTGCCTGTGCTCGGGGAGGGGAGGAGGGGGGATGAAGTTGGGCTAGGTTGTCGACATTGCGCAAGGGTTAGGTGCACGGAGTAATAATCACTGTCATTTGCACGGAGCGAACGACTGTCACGTGAGGGTGGGGGCTGTGTGCAAACACTATTTAGCGTCGGGGTCAGCCACGGAAAGGTAAGTACCTTTGTCAGGATTTTCTGACAACGCATGGCCAGATTTGCTAACTATATTGCCACTGCTCAGGCGGTTGCAAGCACGCGTGGGCATAGGCCCTTGGAAAATTTTGCTGGTGTCCGACAGATAACCTGAAAGGCTTTACTAGTATCGACTGGATGATTCGTATCGTTAACATGTGCGAGAATAGAACTCCAGATCGATTTAATGTCACTATTACTTAACTAGACCGGTATGTGCTCACATGCCTTATTTTTGAGGCTAATGTATACTGCTCCACAGGAGCAAGTGAAAGAGTAAATGCACACGGATGTGACCTTCAGCCGGAGTCGTTTTTTAAACTCCTCTTATTTTAGGAGGGTAGACTTCGTGACGAAAATGCTCAAGGTTGCCATAGAAACAGTGCTTTTAGTCTCAGACTCGAACCTTGCGAGCTTAACGCCAGCAGCTGTGCACCAAGTCCTGATTGGCTGAGGCAAGCAAAGCACTGGACAGTCATGCATCTGATTATGCGTGCCAAGGCGCACAACCACACTGAATCATGGACTCAACTGGCCTTGACACTTGGCAGCGCCTTTTGCAAGTCTTCTTTAGGGGAGTTAAGCTCTGTTTACCAACACTGTCTTACCTGACTTGCAATTTAGGGTGTTATTCTTCTTGTAAATGCAACCACTTAAAACACAAACTTACCACGCTGTTACACAACACTGACGTTTACAGGCAATTCAGCATATTCCCTTCTATTTCTACTAATATTATTTTCCTACCATTTTCTTTAAATCCCCTAAATGCACATTCAATTGGTTTTTTTGATTTGCTAGAGCAAACACACTGGCGTTAAAAGGTATTCCTCTAGTTTTTCCTGAATAAAATGTAGTGAGCTAAAAGATAAGTTATGTTCAGTATTGGGAATTACTACTTAGAGGAAATTGTATAATAATAATTATGGGGCTCATACCCCAATATAGTTTAGCAAACATTAAGCCGGCTTCTAATTAGCGTTTTCGTCTTCTTATGCAACTACAACGCTTAAATGATGGTAACGTATATAATGCGAATTCGCTTGAAGATCATAGCACTTCCCCTACAATCTAATGCATTTTACAGAAACCATAACCATAACCGTTCGTTTTTGTAGTTATTCGATAGAACATAAGGAGTGCTTTGATAGCTTTATTTGGTAAAAGAGTTAAAACGCTTTTAATTAAGGCAGAAGACGCCATTTCTGAAATATTTAACTTTATTCGTCTTCACACGAGATGCCATCGTCAGAGAAAGCGAGAATCTACAGAGCTGATTTTAATCGTTGCTTATGCAGATAACGGTATAGTCATATCCACCGCCAAATGCGATCTGCTTAATTGCATAAATGTTAATCTTTATTTACCCAACAAAACTAAAACCAATTACGCAAATGCAATGGTAGGTCGAATAAAAAAGTACTAAGAGATTGGAAATTTTTTTAATGTGGCCTCTTAGCGACATGTAGCAAGAATAAGACGTGCAGCGCCTAATGCCAAGGACGCCAAACTAAACCTGTAATCTAACCGTACCTTGCATCGCGTGCGCAGAACAAAACTAAATTTAACAGCTTCCCCTGCCACACTTAAAGAATAAAACGTTTATTTGGAGATGCGATGAATCCACATGAAGACAATGTAGACTGGTGGCAGAAATTTTCTCACAGTATCTGAGAAAATTTAAACATGAAAAAGTGCACAAGCAGAATATGCGCAGGTCTTAGAATCATGGAATGAATAAATATGTAACCACCAGAGAGAAAAATTGATTTGGAACAGTAATCATTGAATGAGATAGTAAAATTAAAAGTTGATACAAATGTAAGCATTAATGAAGCCATGTTTGTTGGTCGTACGTTTCCTCCATTAATACTAGGCTTTTTACTATGGGAATTATGCACAGAATAGGTTAAGATAGCAGGTAAGCCGTCTGAATCCGGCAGCCTCCTGGATAACTTTACTGATGTCCACTTAACCGTTACAATCACTTTAAAAATACAATGCACGGCAACATTTCTACGTAGACATTCTACTCGTAAGAAAGCTTAGACTTGCGATTTCCGACTGCTTTGTCCCGCTTTGTCAGAAACACAACCTAGGTTAATGCCCCACTAGCAAATCTTGAAGCATACCTATTGCATCTGCGATGGAAAGCAGGGTCAGTAAATGATTTGACCTCTTTCAATGACTAAAATATGTTTATCAAGGCCACATGAATAAACCGTAAAATGTGATTAAAAAATGGTAGTCAGTACTGCATAAAACATTCCCCGGCGTCAGCCATTAAGAAAATAGCAGGGGTCCTTTCCCACATGCGCATAGAGACATGGGTGCAAATGGTTTGTGAATCGAACATCTCGAATGCGTTACATCCTTTGAAATGTGTCCTGAAAACTGAGAATGCGAAGTGCTAAAACCTCAGATCCGTGAAGGCTGGGAGAGCTTAATGGTAAGTATTTGCGCTTTTCCCACATGCCTATAACGACATGAGCCCAAATGGATTGTGCGCGAACAAGATCGATTGCGTCATATGACTTTCCTTAGAGGATTTGAAAATATGGTATGTAAGCTGACAACAGTTTGTGCAAAAAGCTATGAGTTGCGTAGAATGGGATAGTTTCATAAAGCATCTATGTTCCTATTCCGTTTGGCGAGACAAACAGGCTTACTGATATCCCTATTCTGAACCTAAAAGTAACCAAATTACTTATATTAGTTATTAAAGTTAACTGTAACGCCCCCTAACCATATAATTGACTATCGCTCGCGTGAAAGTTATTTTAAGGCGGAATATAATGCAAATGGTTCTTCTTCAGTAATTTTAAGCGCTGCAATTAAACGTCGAGAACATGACCAGGAAATTGCAATGTGGATCTGTATGCAGGACATCTGAGTAATAGTTCCTTCGCCATGGTCATACATTTATAGTTTTAAATTTGCAAAAGTTCATAACCAGCTTGCTTGTAGAGAATTAAATTTGTAAGTATTCGCGATTCAGATATCTTATCATTTCTACCGTTTTTCAGCGCAGACAAATAATAGGTTGTGATTCGTTAAACAAATTGAATTTGCGCGGAACTTTTGGACACCGTTTTGTTTCCAATATTGGTTTATTTCGGGTGGGGGCGTTAGTGGTACTGACTCCTGCTTAGTATCTGCTTAGGTATGGCCTGACATGTGTAGTAAACTCCATTGATGAAAACTAATCGAGCAACATTCAAATTTTAATTTGCAATGTTGGGGTAATCAAAGGATTTGTTTTATATAATGCAGTCGGTATGCCGAAAGCAGTATAAATATTCGTCGGGAGAACCTCATTATATGTTGGCTGTTTTAAGAAGTAGTTTCGTCTCCCTGTTTTCATAAGTTGCAAAGGCATGTAAAGCATTCCGTTTATGTGCCTGGTGCGTAATTTGCCAATAACGATTGCGGGGCTGTATCGGATCCGTAAACCGTTGACGCTTTAGTCGAAAAATGTTGTAAACGCATTGAAATTTTTAGCATGTGCTTCATTTGCGTGTCATATATTGCTATCTCTGAATTTGTATTTAACTAACTGATTCTCATGCATGCTCCCTTGTACCTGTCATTT